AGCATACAATAGTACAAATCAATGTTCAACTGGGGTGAGTCCTGCAGAGTTACACATTGGTAGACAGTTGAATATAGCATTGGATAGGTTAATAGTCAAGGCAAAATATAATTATACAAAAAGCTTAGAAAGAGCCAAGGAAAATTATAAGGGTGGTAGAACAAAATCGTACGAAATTGGAGATGAGGTTATGTGTAGGAATTATGGAGAAGGGAATAAGTGGATACAGGGAAAAATTATACAACAATTATCACCTGTTACATACTTAATTAAAATTATTAAGGGTAACATTTATAAGCGACATTTAAACCAAATAATTGATTGTATGAATAAAAATGGAACAGAAGTAGAAATTAATGGAGATTTATTAGAAGAATTACAAAATGCTGATAATAATAAGGGTAATATTAAAGAACAAATAGTTATAAGTGAAAGTGTTAAAGAGGCAGAAAAAGAAGTAGAATTGGAAACAGAGGATAAAGTTGAGGGGGTGGAATTGAGGAAAAGCCGTAGGGTTATTAAACCTCCTGTTCGTTTAGATTTATAGACTATTGAATGTTAATTTATTATTATTATTATTTAATTATAATGTTCAAATTATTTAATAATTAATATGTACAATATTACTTATATTATTACTTATATTATTTTTTTTATTATTATACAATTAATATTATATTATATTCAATAATTTTATATGAAATGTAATTCTTATGTAAGTCGGGAGGAATGTAATGTATGTAGTATTCCATGATAATTAGTTTTAAGGTTATGTTTTTATGATATATTCTCTTGCTGAGTATTGTAATGTTGTATTGAAACAACTATGTCTAATAAAGTGAATATTTAATTAATCTAATGTAATGTGTTAATTATTAGTACTCGGTACACCACAAAAATATATGAGCACAGTTATTTTTTATAGTCATTTTATGTTCAAATTTGGACGAAATTACATATTAAAAAACCTAGTTATATTGTTGTGATTATATAATATTATTCGTGGGTACCTACTTGAAACTTCTAAAGTGTACTATTGTATATCTATGATAGTATCAGGGTTTGTTATTGATGTTGATGTATAACGTGTTATAAGTACCTAATGGATATTGTGATAATGTGATATGATTAATTTGGAATTTATTATAGGTCAATTTTTTTTTAATGCCATAGATATGTATATAATTTGTCTTAAACCTAGACTGACATACCGTCTTCGTTTAGAATCGTTTTTCTTATGCAATGATATTGTATCATTGAATTCAAATTTAAAGCATCCATTATACAGTGACCCACTTGTAACCTACTGTACAGCAGAGCGACATCCACTTACCCACCTTTTTTTATTTGATTACATATGGTATGGAACATTGGAACTTCGAACTATTTACAACTATCAGGCACGTATACACTGCCGTCATAAGCAAAAACACTTGAATTCCCCAAAAAAATAGAAATGATTTTAAAAACAAATAAATTATTGTAAAATTTAGCTTGTGTAGATGAATATGCCGCTCCAATATTACTCCAAAAGTATAATATAAGGCATAAGCAATAATCAAATAACTAAAACGCCATAGAAAAATTCGTGGTTACTGGTTACTACCGTCAATCCGGGTGACTATTGGAACGATTTTGACCTTTTAACTACTTTAACACATTCATTATTGATAATTAAATTCTGTAAAAAATCATGTAGTGTCGCACACCTCCAAGGAATAGATTGAGCAAAAAATAAAAAATAAAATAAAATTCTTAAGTAAATTAAGGTAAAAATAAATAAAATGTGGTTGTTCCAAGTCACCCGGAGTTTTGGGTGACTTGAAACATGCGTTTTTTCAAATGCAGATTGCATTTAATCATTTGTGGAGGGTCTCTTGGAACGCTACAATTATTATTAAAAAAAAAATAGTTAAAAACCATATTTCTTTTAATTTAAAAACTAATTAACATTATTTTTATAACTAGGTACCTATTTATTACCAAATAATACTTTTTTTTATAAGTTGTAGTTTTTGATCCTAAAATAAATTTAACCAACATATTTGTATAACTAATCTTTGTATACAAAAAAAAAAATTTCAAAAAATGTTGGTAACAGGTAATATATAGGGGACCTAGGTACCCATGTTCCAAGTAACCCACTTATTTTTTACGGAAAATAAAAACACACCTAAAAAATTTAAATAATATTATTTCCTAATTCTATTTAACACTAACAACACATAAGGAATTCACTAAAAAATAGCAGTAATTTGATTTTTAAAGCTGAAGTAACACTTTCGAAGCTCTTAATTTAGGAGTTGAAAATTTGGATTTTTTTTATTAAATTATGATTGTATCACATGACTTATTGATAAGAGATAAAACATTTTTGATGATAACAAAATGTTTAAAAAATGTTCCAAAAAATATTGTTGGGGAAGCAGAATTTTATTTCCCTTATCTAGCATCAAATTAAATAACACAATTTTATTGTTCCAAGTCATCCGGGTTGACGGTACTTCCCACACACAGCATAAAAATATTTTCAGTAAAATAATAGTTGTAAAAAAATTTTAAAAAGTTGCGTAAATAATTAGGAAATATTTTAGTTATATTCTTTGGCCAAGAAACTCCTATTTTTGAAAAAATTTTATAAAAAACATTTACAAAATATTTTCATAAAATGTGTATGGAAAATTTTATAAAAATATTAAGTGGACGTTTTTATGCAATCGTATAGTACAATATTTTGTTATCATGAGAATAAAATATTTATAAAATATTATTAGTCAGATATTCATTACTCACAAAATATCATTTCCCACATGCTGTGTAGTGGGTTACTAGGTATAACAACGCCCAAATACACTATACCAGAGGTACCCAAACTTTTTATTGTACGACCCATTTTGAAAATTTTTTAAAATGTGGCGACCCACAATATGAATGAATGACTGTGGCGATCCAGATGTGGAGTTCGGTTGACAAGGTCGAATCAAATGAAGTAACACGTAGTCAAATTAATTATTATTATAAATTTATTGACCAAAGGTTAGTGGTTAATACTTTTTAAGCACTCAGAGTAAAGTTACAATTTAAGACAAATATCTCTAGCATGAATACTGTCAACTATCTAGTCGTCACACAGAAATAGTGTGTCTGGTCTCCCTGATGGGGAGCCTTTATATAGTAGACAATAGTCAGATTACATGGTCCTTTACAAGGTCCCACTTAAGTAGGTATTCGCTATGGCTCTTTTAGTACTTTAGAAACTAACTTTTCCTTGTGGCACTCGTTAATAGTAATTAATATATTGTGCCACGTACACCATGCGTAATACTGTAGTAATAATATTATATACTTGTGTGGTCCTAACCTTGGCTATTGCAACACCTCCCCCACAAAACGAGGGCTGATGTTTAAGAAGACCTCTAACGGTTGTCCTACGACTAATATTCAATATTCATACTTTACAAAATAATTGCATTACTCTGGTGGTATAATTATTCCTTAGATTATGTTAGTACATACACAATATAATATAATACATTTTTTTTTTTTTTTTTAATTATTATTATAATATGACAAATTCACAATAATATAACATATACGATAAATAGTTTTTAAACGTAACCCCTTACATCAACATAGTCAGTAGTTTTTTTTTTTACAGAGATTTCCTATAATAATATATGTCATACGATACTGTTGTATATATTTTTTTTATAATGGAACATTTTTTTTTTTAATTTAAGTTACTATAACGTTAAATAATATGGCAGTTAAAGTGGGAGTTTACCAATTGCGCTTAAAATGACCTTTTAATATACCAATTGCGCTGTCTTTTTTTGGGTCGATAGACCAATTGCGCTCAGTTATTTTCAGGGTTTATAATATTATTCTAATATTAATATGTTTTTAATATTTATATTTTATATATTAATAGGTAGGTATTAATATTATAATATTATAAAAATACTTTAATGAAAATAATATGTATTATAAATAGATTTTTTCAGTCAATACAAAACAATTATACAATGAACGTCAATTTTAATAATATTTGTACAATATAAATCTATACCAAATCATACACATAGATACACGTCAATAATACATAATTAATATACATAAAAATATAAAAATATTATTAAAAATCCTTTGCTAATAATTTTTATTTTGCTAACAATTATCAGCTTGTAGCTTATCGTATTTTCCCGTAATTTTGTATACGTTTTGCTTTAAATTGAGTATATTTGAATGTATATATTAATTAGCTATATTTAATTGAGTATATACATATGTAACTTTTTCCGCCGTTTAGGAACTACATATCTTCATGTAAAAATAAGGAACCTAAAATATAAGTAGCGCAATTGGCGTACTGACCTAAAATTTAAGCGGCGCAATTGGTGTAATGACCTAAAATTTAAGCGGCGCAATTGGTATACTGACCTAAAGTACAAATATTGTTTTAGGAGCAACTGGTCCATGCCCGTTAAAGTATCTATAATGACAGTGTCTGTTTGTACTGAGTGGAAAATCATATGGCATGGTGTTTCATGCCCCCACAGAGCCCCTTCCTCATTTTGCCATTCGATAAAGGTGGTCAAAACGTTTTGTATTGCCTGTATCCTTGTTCGGTTTAAAAGGAAACCGCTTCTCCGGTTGGCTCTCGCTAAATGCTTTAATAGACACTCCGGAGCCTGACTACCCTCACGTAATTGTACCGAATGCTCATCTTCGTACAGCGTGTAACGGGGAATGGTCCATGAATTTAAGTAATTCTCTTGCGGTACTCATATTTTTTTTTTCCTATTAAATATTTTATAATGTAGTTACTTCTACTCTAGCCTCTAGGAACTACTATTCTATGACTACGGTATTTTTGTTTATTTTTATAAGCACTATATAAATTATAAACTATAAACTACCATTATTCCTAATATTATACATAATATTATAATTATTTTTGTGTGCATACCACTAGTTGATTGCAGAATGTCCTTATCTTTTTACTCTTGTACCGCGTTTTCTAACTCTTCGATTGTTTTAGAAAAATCGGTAATATCGTTTGATTTAACTACTGGATTTTGATGAGTAAGTAGACTCTCAAGCTTAGCACTGGGTAATAACGGAATTTTTACACTGGTCGGTATGTTTACTGGGGGAATGAAGTCGGTATACTGAGCGGACTTCAAGTGCCGGTTAGGTGTTAAGACTACTTGTGGTGTGTGTACCCTGCATTGTTCACTTAAAGTTATTATACCTACGCCCCTTACTTGTTTATTCCTTGCGTTATCCCATTGATCGCAGGTGACAGCTACATCGTCCGACGTGTTTATTATATAAATCCATTTATTATGATTTTTTAACTTATGGTAGATGCTACGTGATAGTTCTAAGTATTTTATTGAGCAGGTTCTCGGAATTATCGTTGGCTTCATGAATAATTCGATTTCACATGGTAACCCCGCTGTTCCTAACCGAAGAGGTTGTGTCTCAGGACATAGTGTCATGCTTATTAATTCTTTACAGCTCATTAAATGGTTTACGGAAATTGTTAAATAGTACTCGTGTGTTTTTTAAATGGCCATGTATTCGAATTCGGGTGTGAAGTGCATATATAGCTGTTCTTTACGTACCGCCATCGCGGCAACGGTATTATGTGGTATAGTGTTAATTCTACTGGGTTTAGTAATGGAATTACTAACTCGAATACGAGAGTTCCATTCATATAGCCACTAGCCAGTTTTGAAGTCTTACTTAATTCGTAGAGTGATACTATATAATTTACATCGAAAGGTAATTTCAACTGCCCGGGCAAACTTATTAATATGTCCCGCAGCGGCATTCTTAATTCTTTAGTGGATATCATACCTGAATGTATTATACCGTTTTGCGCTGCCGATATTATCTCACATACCATATCTGTTTCGAATACTAATTGCTGCAGTAGCAGTAACAATGTTGTTATTAAATTTATTGTTGTTGTTAGTATTTCTAACTCATCTAGTTGATACCATACGCGTTTTAAGCTAGTTTCGAGATTGCTACATGATATATTTAAGTTTCGGATTTGGTTTTCCATTAACTGCGCTTCCCTAAATACACTATTTGTTAATTTTAATATACTAGTTTGTTTATCAACTATTTTTAACAGACCTACTCTACTACTTTGGAGTTCCCTTATTTGCGTGTTGTACATTTCCCCGTCCTCGTCGTCCAACGTTCCGAATAACGTCTTCTGAATATGTCCTACTATATTGATCAATCCCCGTTTTTCACGTTTGTTTATCTCCTCTATATCTATGGACTGCAACATATTGGACCTTTTTCTACTAATTTCTTGTAATAATGACGCGGAGGTTAATGCAAAGTTACCACAAGTGGTATTAAATAACTCAGGGCTTTCTTTTTGTAGAGTTTCACATATTTTTTCTGTTTTGTTATAAAAATTAATTGTTTCTATATATTTATTATTATAATTATCCAAATTAATATATATTAATAATTTCCAATCTGAATTGGTTAACCTTAGTGAACCTTGATTTTCGAAGTAGATCCCACTCTCGTGTGGAATCGTTGAAACATTGTATGGCGAATTTTGCGTTATTGACAGGGGCGCAATTTCAATGAAAAAACTGGGGGTGCTGAAGCCCCTCTATTTTTTGATGTTATCTTATGGTAATGGATACCTGCAACGGCTGTAACCCGTACAATTACCATTCAATAATTACAAATTTATTATTAACTAAGTAAAGCCTAAGAATATGTAAGTGCAAGATAAATATATTATTATTTATTTAAAAATTAATTAATAAGCGCAATAAAGGTGCGATTCCTTAGGACGCGTCTGTAGACGCACGGCCAATGCGGCCGAAATTTCGGCCGCACGAGCCGCACGGCTCAATGACGAATTCCCTAGAAAATACAAAATATGGCCGCAAGAGACGCACGGCGTATTTTATTTTATTATACAGCTTCCAATTTTTTTCATTTCCAGTTTCCCTTGTACATCTGAACGGTTAACAAGTCATTCGTGTATTTATATTATACCTACTGGTGCATATTTTACAATTAATTATAATGTTGCGCAGTAAGAAAAAAAAAATGCTTATTAAATTAATGCTTTTGGAGCAAATCGACGAAGAAACAGCCATAATCGAACATGTAATGAATAATAAAAATCACAATATTCATGATATGTTTCTCAAAAGAAAAATTGAGGGCTTTTATAACATTTTAATTGAGAAACATTTATTTAAAGATGAAACCAAATTCAGAGAATTTTTTCGATTGAGTTATGATCAATTTAATTATGTTTTAAATATCATTGAAGATGACATCAAGAGACAAAAGTGATCCTTACAATCGAGTTAAACAGCCAATAACACCAGCCGAGAAGTTATCAGTTACATTAAGGTAAAGTTTTGACATTTTTTAATAGGTATGATATATTATATTATTGTGTACCTATACTTACCTTTTTTGCTAAATATATACGTATTTTGTTCACTAAGTGAATATCTTCAGTACTAAACAAAGACTGAGTGGGTACCTACTTAATTAATTCACTTTGATCATCAAAAAAAATTGTTATTTGTATAATGTAATACTTAAATTTTAATGAATATAACATGTAGTTAGTAAGTTTAGATAATTAAGTTTAAAGAAAAGTATATATATTTTTTTAAATAAAAAGTTTAACAAAATTATGATATAATATAATGGTATATAAGTTATGTTATATAATGGTGAAATATGCGTAGCAAAATGTAACAAAATTATATTCTAATGATAGTTAAATAAATAAAATATAATATTAAAACAAATCAAATAAAAACTTAGAAAAAACAAATAGATATAGAAAATAAATTTTAAACTATAAAGTCATGTTAAAAAATAAAAATAAAGTATAAGGTAACTACTTATTAAGAGAATGAATCCAATATTCCTCTGGTTGTTCACTATCTTGTTGCTGGCTATCAAACGAATTGGATGTAGAATAATTATAATCTACCCACTCTGGATGCGAACTTTCTTCGGAGCTTTGGTAAGGGTTGACTGTTGTGGGAAATTCGTAGCTTGAAGAAGTAGACGGCTGTGGAACTTGAGGGGGTGGCATAATTTCTTTTAATTTGTTATTCTTTAATTCTAAATTACTTACAATACGAAGAATATCAAATTTAGCTTGAATTATTAATTCTGGAGTAAACTGCTTTACCGTTAATGCCATACTTGTGAAAAAAGCATCAATAGGATCGTCTTGTTCAATATTTTTTAGTTCTTGAAGAATCTTATTCCTTTCTTCATCTCTTTTTTTCAATGCATCAAGTAAATTGTCGTTTTTTTTTGTTTTTTTATTCGATACTGATTCAGTCCACGATTTTTTTATTTTACCAGTAACTCCCGTTTCTGAAATCGATTCTCCAATAGCTGATGAAGATGGCTGTAATTCACTTTCTCCTTGGTTTAACACACTTGCATCAATTGAGTCTTCAAACAAACCATCAGTATTTTTTTGACTCTGAATCTGAGGATCTTCGTTGGTGTGTTCTATTGCTGATGCATCAGAAGACATAATATTTGATACACCTCTAACATATAAAAACAAATTATAATATATGATTTCCAAATGTATTTTGAGTCAAATAAATATAATAAATAACATACTCTCTTTCATAAGTTGCTACATCTAGAAAAGATAAAATATCTGAAAGTTGCCACTTGGAAGGCTTTTTCCTAGTTGCTGATCCTGTACCGACTTTTCTACTCCTTTTGTTTTTATTGTAGGTGTCCTTCATATTTCGCCATCTTTTTTTACAATCGTCAACTGTATAAATTAATCAATTTATAGTAACTAAACTTTTCAACATCCAATTAGAGGTGATGTGACATGTCAAATATCTTCAAAAAAAAAACTTTTTCACACAATACATAATAGGAAAAGACTATTCACCATAAACAGTACATTATAGATTAATACGTTTTACATATATTTTTTTTTTTAGTAAAATACAATAAAAATATACTTGATCTAATATTTTTTACCTTAAAAAATATTTTTATCAACGAAAATTAAAATAAAATAGTTCAATACTAATCAGTCAGGGTGGTAGCAACTTCGCATGTTGGGTAAGCAGTATTTTTATATGTTTTTGAATCTGCTGCAATCGTTTATTGAATTATTTAACACACCAAAACGCCTTATCAAAATAGCCCCCAAAGGAACTGTGTACATTTTAGTATTTTACTAGTTAGTTTCTTTTCTTGCTCACTCTACCTATATCGTACCTTCTTTCTCTAAGCGCTGTCCATTAGCTTATAGGTGTATGGTTATTACTTATTAGTTATTGCTCTATGTCAATGGTCTGTGCTATATAGTCACAATCGTACCACGAAATTCCAAATGCTAGCAGCAAGTGGGTAATTAAAATAAATTACATTTTATCAGGTCGATACGTGGAAAGTGCGAACTCCTTAGAAATTATAAATAACTAGAAATAATTATTACGAAATTCCAAATGCTAGCAACAAGTGGATAATTAAAATAAATTAAATTTTGTCAGGTCGATACGTGGAAAGTGCGAACTCCTTAGAAATTAGAAATAACTAGAAATAATTATTTCGTTGAAAATAAATCCTTAAATAATTATATTTTATAGATATATGGCTACCGGCGAATCATTTCGGTCATTGGCATTTGCGTTTAGGATATCTCAAAGTTATATCACTCGTATTATACAGTTGGTTTTAAAAAGTTTGAGTTCACGACTAACTGGTAAATTATTAAAACCACCATCGCCAGAAGATTTGATACGAATTGCAGGTGAATATTGGGATAGATGGAACTTTCCAAATTGTGTTGGTGCAATCGATGGAAAGCATATTAGAATATTTTGTCCGGGAAAGAGTGGTTCTTTGTTTTTTAATTATAAAGACTATTTTTCAATTGTCTTATTAGCTATTGTGGATGCTAATTGTAAATTTATTTATGTCGACATTGGCTCGTATGGAAAAGAAGGTGATAGTGGCATATTTGGAAAATCAAGTTTGAACCAATTAATTAAACAAAAAGAATACTTTCCGCCAGAAAAAAAACTGCCAAATTCGGAAATAAGCTTACCATTTGTTCATGTCGGCGATGAAGCTTTCCGTCTGGAGACACATATGATGAGACCATACACTCGTGGAGAAGCCCGGAATGATAACAAAAAAATTATTTTCAACTATCGTTTGTCAAGAGCTCGGAGAACTACAGAAAATAGTTTTGGTCTTTTAAGCCAAGTATTTAGGGTTTTTTATACTCCCATTTCTTTGAAAACCGAAACAACTGATCAACTAGTTTTATCAGCCTGTTGCCTCCATAATCTTCTCCGGGATAGATATTTAGAAAACGTGCCTAATTATTATTATAATTATGATCCAAACGAACCTCAACCTTTGAAGAACATGATGTCTCTTGCTAAATCTGGAGGTTACGCAAATTTTGAAGGATTTTTGGTAAGGGATGAATTTACAAATTTTTTCAATAGTGAACAAGGAGCTGTTTCATGGCAAGACAGCCGAACACAGGAAACTGACATTTAATTATTAATAACTGTTATTTTGAAAGTTTTTTTTTATAATTATTTATAATGTAAATAATTTGTAACATTTTTATGAAATAATTAAATAATATTTCTAAACATAATTAACAATATTCATGATTATTTATTATATATTGAATTTTATCATTACTATTATTATTAATTAAATTACATATAAGATATATAGTAAAATAATTATATAAAAATGTAATTTTATTTATAATAATTACAATATTAGGTATAGAAATAAGTGATTTAATAACTAATTAATACTAATATAATTAATTATATTAAGAAATATTAGGTGTTAAATTATATTTTTTTTTCAAATAATTATCAGTACATCAATAAAAGATACTTACCACTTTTTGTTTTTAAAATACATGACACTTCTTTCCACACATTTTCTCGTACATGTTGATCCTTGTACAATGAATTTCTCAAGTCAAACAAACATGGATGTTTACTAACAAATTCTGCGAGAATTGTATCTTCTTCCAAAGTAAATAAAGTTTTTGAAGACATTTTTTACAACAAAAAAAAATTCTCTGAAAAAAAATCAACTGTATCTACCGACTACCATCAACCGCGCGGCTCGTGCGTTTTGACTGCCTACTGAGGGGGTACTCGTCGCGCGTCGCTAGACGCACGCGACCGCCGAGCGCGCCTGCGGCGGTTTAAGGAAACGGTTTCATTTAAAAACGGCAAAACCAGTCTGGCGCGGCTGAAATTT